TATTTTCTGGATTACAGTAGATTTATTTAACCTTTTTCCTGCAATGCCTCTTGAAAGGAAATATAAAACAGATTTCAGCTTACAATATTTTATATCTAAAATTTAGTCCTTTCCAGAGATTTTAGCTGCAAAACTGTGTAAGGAAAAACAAAGCAGTTGGAGGGCTGCAAAAAGGCATGAGAGAGCTATGCAATATGTATAGATATACACAGAGGCTGACAGCCACACACACTGACAGATAAAGAGCAGATACAAGAAGAAGACAAGCTGAAATACCTTTCCCGTGCTGAGGCACTGCTAGAATCTCCTACTGTACCACCTTCTGCAATGGAGGGAATCGGTCATAATAGGCATATGAACCAACCGCACTATTTACATATGATTGAATAACTGCTTATTCATATGTAAATAGTGCTGTTCATTTATATGTAAATGTTAATCATGTCCGGCTGGGGTTGATTAGGGTGTGCCCAGGCACACCCCATGCGCCCGCCTGTGAATATGGTTATAAAGGTGAGGTTATATCAGGAACATTAAACTGCTAAGATTTATTTTTTTGCAATCATTTAATTGTACCTTTCTTTAGAAAACGAAATCACTATACATTTCAAACATAAACAAGCAAATGGTAGACATTAAAATCCATGCCTTCTGGCTGGCTATAAATTGGGGGTATGGATTGGTTTATCAGCTTTGACCTCACATTTCTCCTGTCACTGGAGGAAGTCTAAGACCTGTATTTATGAAGTTACACTGTCTGGGACATATTCTCCTTTAAATGCAGTTTATAAAACAGTGGGGTCTATTCACTAAGCTGCCGTAGGCAGCCGAGTGAATGACCGACCTAAAGCGAAGTGAGCAGAAAGCTGTTCGGCTATTCACTTCAGGCTGGTATGGCTGGTTTCAACCGTATATCGGCTGAACTCAGCCGTACATCGTGTGGGCCTTCCGGTCGGCTGAACATGCTCTGCTCGGCCAACCCGAAGTGCAAGAGGAGATCGGCAGAACAGAAAAATAGTTTAAAAAGTACAAAAAAATAAATAGAAAATGATTGTGCGGAGCTAGCAATGACAGCTAGCTCCGCCCAACAGTTTTCTATTGGCCGGCGGTTCTGCTGCCGTAAAAAAAATGAAAAGAAAAAAACTCTGCCGGGCGCTCTGGGAGTCTCCCGCTCCCGGCTGCCCAGGAGAGAAACACTGATTTTTCTTTTTTTTTCTTTATTCTGACACGGAGCCGTGTCAGAATAGAAAAAATAAATAAAGTTTTACCCATAGGAATGCCTTGCACCTCTGCTGATGGACCTGATGGAAAACTGCAGCAGAGGGCGGGTGCAATGCTAATTTACTATTGGCTATTGCAAATTGAAATAGCCAATAGGAATATAGCAATGCATTCCTATGGGCAAAAATGTATTTATTTTTTCTATTCTGACATCGCTCCGTGTCAGACTAAAGAAAAAGCAGTGTTTCTCTCCTTGGCGGCCGGTAGCGG